GTGGTGATAAAAAAAGAGAAGAAAAAACATTATTATTATCTATGATAAAAAAACAAGACGAATATTTACATTAAAAAGGTTAAAACTGTTATAAGTAAAAGTTGCAAAAATGATCAATTCTAACACGAATGCCTTGTTGCTAACATAGGTCGCGATGGCTGATTTTTTTTTTTCTTCTTGATCCCTTGCTATCAACCCCCCCCCCCTCACCTGTTTGCCCTCCTGTCTCTCTCCCTGTCTCTGCCCCCGGTGGACTTCTTTCACAAAACGCCGGCACCTGCCTGTCCATCTGAGGAACCAGGGGGGTTAGCTCGCCACGTCCCCAGCATGAGTGACCAACGACCTATTCCTGAAAGCTACAGCACACTTGACCTCGGGTCTGTGCCTTGACCGGTCGGCCTCTCGGTTGCTCTCCCCACGCGCGGTCTGCTCGGCGCGCCTCCTTCCCCTTCCACAGGACAGCCAACGCCACGCCACCAGCTCATCAACCAAATAAAGGAAGAAAACAGAATGGTGTCTCCATACACCCATCACAGTCAGGGGAAACCAAGCCCTGACAACGCACACTCATGCATACATGTGCATGCATATATATAAATATACATATGTATTATGCATATTTATGTATTTCATATATATATGAATGCATCTACACTTATGTGTATATACTATATATATATATATATATATATATATATATATATATATAGATAGATAGATAGATAAGATATAGATATACATATATATATTTATATATATTGCAATAAGCATCGTTATTTCATTAACATTATATTTACACACACACACACACACACACACACACACACACACACACATATATATATATATATATATAATATATATATATACTATATATACATTATATAAGTGTATATGTACCGTAACATATGTATATATATATATATATATATATATATATATATATATATATATATATATATATATATATATATATATATATATATATATATATATATATATATATATATATATATATATATATATATATATATATATATACACGCACACATTTTTATATATGTGTGCGTGTTTGTATTTCCGACGACGCTTCCCAAGTCCCTCCCAGATGGAACGCGGGCGAAGGGATTGCCAATCTCGGAGGATTCCCGAGAGAAAGTCGGTTCCTTCCATTCCCTCGGTCACTTTTTGCTCCTTCCGACTTGGCCGCCATTTCGGGCAGCTCCGCGAGGTGGACTGAGGTGCCCCAGCTGTTCATTACCATAATCACCAGTAATGTCATTTCATTATCGTTATTCCTTTTATCATTATTGGTGTTATTGTTACGATTAATATCTTATTATCATCTTTATAGTGTTTTTCTTATTATCATCATCATCATTACCACAAGTAATACCAACATTATCAGTGTAATTATCGTTATGAATATTGCTGTTGCCCTGATCATTATTGCTATAAACATCACCCTTATTTCAATTGTATTTTGTATTATTGTTGTTAATGCGGTTATTACTATTTGCTCCTACTATTGTATTGTTTGGGGCGGTTCAGATCTCAACATTTTCAAAAGTGCAGAAAACATATTTGTTTTCCTTGTACTATAATGCACACTAATGACAAAGGGAAAACTGCATAAAATTCCTCTTAAGAGGTCAAAAATAATTGTGATATTATCGAAAACATACTACTCAATTACCTCAAGATTCCAGTTGTATATATATATAAAAAAAAAAATTATATTTTAGTTGAGGTATTGAATTTCTATGTTATTATTTCTCAAAACTTTTGTTAAATGCATCGTTTTATCATTTTCTAAAACGGATTATAAATAAAATAATTTTCTAAAGAAATATTAGGTGAACCTTATTTATGCATAGCAAATGTTTACTTAATGTTAGAAAAATCGAGATGGGAATAAGCTTAGGGTACACTAAAGTAGATTGTCCTTGCGCAGTTGTAGGAGCGTAAGACGGTTATTTGATTCGCAAGGAAGAACCTGAATGGAATAAATCGTTTTCTGATGAAATCGTGAAATAAAACGCAAAACTCCTCAGCTGCGAGTTACTCAAAGTAAAGTAAAGAACACCTGTCTAGGGCTACAGGACAGGGATTGAGTGGGTAGCATTGCTGACGTCCACACACACACTCATACACGCGCGCGCGTTCTCACACGCACATATATATGTATATATCTGTGCGTGTGTATACATATACATATACTATGTATGTCCATACATATATACGTATACATATATACGAAATCTATACATATAAATATATGCAATACACACACACACATCCACACACACACACACACACACACACACACACACACACACACACACACACACACACACACACACACACACACACACACACACACACACACAGCCACACACACTTTAATCCGCCAAACAACTGTCTAACATCCAACACCGACTGTGAACATTTTACTTTAGTTTACCCTAAAAGGACTAACGCTTTCTAAATTTCCTCCATGAATTTATTATCTCTACTGTCATTTATGATCAAAACAAGATCATTTTTTTTAATGAAAAAGGGTTAAATATGAAGGAAATTTTACAGCTTACGTTCGCCACTCCGACATCGACGATTTTGGTATCGTTGAATTCTCTATAATGCGGATATGTAGTTTTTATTGCGCGGAAACCTCCCGTTAGTGACAAGCTTGGCCCCAATAGCAGGGGAGGGCATGAAAGGTTCCAGGGAAGATGCGGGGTTAAATAACACTAATAATATAACCCACAATGGAAATAACGATAATTCAAATTACTTTCCAGTCCCCGCCGAGGAAGCAAAGAATCCACCACATCTTTAGGGCAGGACAGAGCGCACACGAACTAGATGCGGAGCCGGTGACCTCCAATATAACCTAGGATTTCTAT